GCACCAGGGAGATATCAAACCATTCGGTTAAGGCGATCCTGGTGAAAAATTATTCTATCAGTCCTTCTGATAATAGAATCCCCTACTACCACCAGCTATCTAGGCCTTCATACACTACCCTCACCACCCCTCCCAGATGGTCTGCCATCCCGGCTGTTAGGGATATCAGTGACATCCTAAACAATATGGTAGTGTGACCAGAGCACCCCTACCTAGAAAAAGGAGGTTACTAAATGATCCACGCGGGAGTAATATGGGTTCAAAAATTACAAACAATATTTTATTTGATCACATAGATCATAAGGAGGTTAAACATGAGCACGGTGAACATGTCAAACAGATAAAATCATTTTAAAAGCATAGCGTCTTCATTTCAGGGTCATTTTGGCAAGTAGAGTACCATATAAGGCAATATAGGGTAATGGTGTGGTTTTGATCCTAGGTTTCCATAAATCTCCAACTTGTATTAGAATAAACCATATATTCTGCAGATATGTTCTCAATATGAGCCAGGATGTGCAGAGTAGCCTCCTGGTGTGTAGAAACTGGAACATAAAAATAAAAAATAAAAAAATAGATATATATGAAGATATGGGAGCTGAATCGCACCTAAGCCACACCAAACCTCCCTATACAGTGGTCAGTGGACACTTTCATTACCTTCTCAGTTGTAAGGCTGTCATACCCGCTTCTCAAATGTGGGGACTTCCTGGGTAACCACCCCAAGTGAAACAAAGTCCACAGTACCAAATGATTCTGGGGATATATATAAAGATTATTGTATAGATCACAGGCATCAAGTAAAACCCTGAAAACAGAGACAAAATATAGGTATATTACCATCAATAAAGATCAAGAAGACTCCCGTCGACTTGAAATAGGATCAGGTCCTTGATGCTTGTTCAAAGGTGCATATGGGGGTGGGAAGCCAGGTAGTCACAATGCGTGAATTCCAAACACATATATTATGCATGTAGCAGGCCGTGAGTACCTGAGTCTATATACCCAATAAAGGGTTTCCAAAAATTACTCAATCTGAGAAAAATGAAGCGGTTTAAATAGGATATGGCTTTGTCACAGCATACAATGCCTAAGTAGGATAGCATATATATATATTCACATTATCCTCTGAAGAGGATAATGTATATATATATACCTGGCTTCCCACCCCCATATGCACCTTTGAACAAGCATCAAGGACCTGATCCTATTTCAAGTCGACGAGAGTCTTCTTGATCTTTATTGATGGTAATATACCTATATATTTTGTCTCTGTTTTCAGGGTTTTTACTTGATGCCTGTGATCTATACAATAATCTTTATATATATCCCCAGAATCATTTGGTACTGTGGACTTTGTTTCACTTGGGGTGGTTACCCAGGAAGTCCCCCACATTTGAGAAGCGGGTATGACAGCCTTACAACTGAGAAGGTAATGAAAGTGTCCACTGACCACTGTATAGGGAGGTTTGGTGTGGCTTAGGTGCGATTCAGCTCCCATATCTTCATATATATCTATTTTTTATTTTTTATTTTTATGTTCCAGTTTCTACACACCAGGAGGCTACTCCACACATCCTGGCTCATATTGAGAACATATCTGCAGAATATATGGTTTATTCTAATACAAGTTGGAGATTTATGGAAACCTAGGATCAAAACCACACCATTACCCTATATTGCCTTATATGGTACTCTACTTGCCAAAATGACCCTGAAATGAAGACGCTAAGTGCTTTTAAAATGATTTTATCTGTTTGACATGTTCACCGTGCTCATGTTTAACCTCCTTATGATCTATGTGATCAAATAAAATATTGTTTGTAATTTTTGAACCCATATTACTCCGCGTGGATCATTTAGTAACCTCCTTTTTCTAGGTAGGGGTGTGCTCTGGTCACACTACCATATTGTTTAGTATGCATTTCTTGGGTTTATGGATCCACACTTACATGTTAAGTTAGCCGGAGATATGACTATGACACTAGTCATTCGTGTCATTTCAGGTGGCCTCTTTCTGTTCTATTTTTTGTGACATATCAGTGACATCCAGGGCTGCCACCCCTGAGCTTGCCATCCCCACATCTTCACCCAACTTGGCAAATCTGTTTGGGTGCACAAACCCAGGGCAGGCTTTCCTTTTCTGTGAGCCCCTGCCACTCCCTCTCGTTACAGTAACCCATCTTCCTACCTGATAATTCTGATTAGCCCCTCCGCCCTCCACATCAATCCCATTAGCTACCTGCTCAGGGAGCAGAACAGCCATTTTGAGGTTGTCGGTTCTGCCCAGTGTTGCAACTTGCTCCTCCAGATAACGTGAGCTTCTAGATGGGCAATCCGCTCACATCTGTCGCAGTGGTATGTTCTGGAGCTGTTGCTCCATTGTTGCATACATGCGGCACAAAACCTTCAACCCTGCCAGCACTCATATCCCAGTTCCAATATTAATATTTCTAATAAGAAATATCAGTTGCAACTTACAGGTTAGTAGACTCTTTTTATAATCTGCTGTTTTCAACTCCAGTTTTTTAACGCCACTTAATCAAATGCCCACTTAGTCAAAGGTCCAGCAAGCAAAATACAGGCAAGCTCAAGTATAAGCAAGCTCACAGTGAGCTCTACAGAAAATTTATATAGTACCTGTATCACCTGTGACCAATTGACCCCTCCCCTTAATTAGCAGACTGAAAGAAAGCAAGAAAAAAATGCTATTTAAAAAGTGACAGTAAAAGTGATTTAAAAAAGTAAAAGCTTCTAACAAGACCCAAAGAAAAAAATAAAACAACTACAAGCATCAGCAATCACCAGCAGTCAAAAGTAAAACTGTTTTTCACTCTCCACTCAATTTTCCCACTCTTTTTATGCTATCAGCCAGCAAAATGTGCTAGACCACATCAGTCCCTGCCCTCAAGGAGCTTACAATCTAAGATCCCTAACTCATATTCGTACATACACATGCTAGAGCCAATTTAGACAGGAGCCAATTAACCTACTAGCATGTCTTTGGAGAGTGGGAGGAAACCCATAGAGACACAGGGAGAACATGCACATTCCAGGGAACTGACACTGCAGTTGGTATTTGAACCTACAATCTTAGTGCTGCTAGGTGGAAGTGCTAACCACGTAGCCACCGTGCTGTGTTTTAGTGCTGTAACTTGGGTTTTTGTAAGAGGGATAGTAGTTTAGAGAGATTGCCTAAAGACAATATTTGGTGTTATGTCCTCTTTAGGTATTTTTTGTGTTTTTTTTCAAAATGTCACACTAAAAAAAACGAAGTTAATGTTAAAAATATGAAATGTTCACTGAGTCAGAAGTGTCCTATTATATGCCTGTGACCACATGTAGGCTGCATTCATTTGCTGTTGTGGGCTTTTAACCTTTCTGTCCCAATTGTTTACAGCAGGAGCCAGCGCTTCTCTCCTTTATTTATCATTATCAATCTCGGTTTTTTTTTTCACCTTTGTTTCCACTAAGCACCCTCCTCCATTTCTTAGTTTGCACTAAGACATATATTTTAAGGGTCTCTCACTTTCCTGCAGCTGTAGCTGCAGAGGATCCTAATCTCTTAGCTTTACCACTACTATCCTGCCAAATACAGCTTAGTAGAATTCTAATTAACCCCCAGCACTCTGTCCTGCTAAGATCCCGCTTAAATGTTAAAGAGACATGCAAGAAAAAGTGACAGTTATCTGATACAGGCATCCCCAGAGTCCCTTATTCTCATCTTACCCGCACTCCCTCGCAGCTCCTTGCTCCTCCACAGTCAGCATAAATATGAATGCTAAAAAATATTTCACACCCACTAGTTCATATTTATGGAGTAATTTATGCAGTTATAGAAAAGGAATCTTGTTATGATCCATTGTGCTGCCAACTTTTACGAACAAATAAAAGTTATAATTTATTTTTGTTGGTGTGCAGTCATCCACTTTTTCTGCATTCATGTGTTCCCCGTAATTAGCTGAACATGTATCCAGCTTCAGTTGGTCAATGTGGACCCCATTAACTAGCTGGGGTGGCACCCATTAACTAGCTGGTAAAAATAACTGGCACTTTAGAGTATGGATGAGCATGTGACTTGCTCCCCCCTTGATGCTTGATGGTGTCTGAGAATAGCAGTCAATTGTTAGACCCACGTGGTGAAGTTACAGCTCCCCCAGGTCGACAACACAGGTGATTCAGTATTGAATGAGGGCATGCAAGGAGTTTTAAGGGAACACAAGTTAGGTGAATATAAGAGTGTCAGAAGATGCCCATTGCATGTCACCTGCTGCTGAGCGAAGGCATGAATGAAGTATCAGTTTGCACGCTTAAAATAAAGTTTTAAAAAAGTAAACAATGCAATTCACTGAAATGTGCATCACACTGCCCCCTCATTATAGTTCCCTGCAGGGCAAAACTTACAGCTGCTTGCACATTAAAATGTAGCATTTAGCGTACAGGCAGTGTGAACAATCCTTTAGAACAGGAAACATTTTTAAACCCTAGTTAGGTTTTAAATGCTTCCAAAAGGACACCTTCAAAGGTGCTGATATATCTATACCTATTAATACAGTGCAGCAAAGGCAAATAATCATTCCTAAACTTATTGGCTCTGGTTAGGCAGCTTAGATAGAATAAGACAACCCGCTAATGTGTACTCAGAAAGCACAAACCAACAGGTGCATAAGACCAAATGGTAAATGTGACCAAATTGCTTCACTGGCTTACACATACAGTACTGTAAAACAGAATAATAGATATAGAACAGCGCTACCTGTACTCCAACCAAACCTAACTCTGTTCTTCATATAACCCCATAACAAGTGTTAAAGTGCAGTGTGCAATCAGTGCAAAAACAAACAAGTTATAGAACATGCAATAATATCCTTGAGCAAAAGTCAATGTGCAAAATATATACACTATATTGCCAAAAGTATTGGGACACCCCCTCCAAATCATTGGATTCAGGTGGTCCAATCACCTCCATGGCCACAGGTGTATAAAACAAGCACCTAGGCATGCAGACTGTTTCTACAAACATTTGTGAAAGAATGGGTCACTCTCAGGAGCTCAGTGAATTCAAGTGGGGTACCGTGATAGGTTGCCACCTGTGCAATAAGTCCATCCATGAAATTTCCTTGCTACTAAATATTCCACGGTCAACTGTTAGTGCTATTATAACAAACTGGAAGCAACTTGGAACAACAGCAACTCAGCCACGAAGTAGTAAGCCATGTAAAATGACAGAGTGGGGTTAGCGCATGCTTTAGCACACAGTGCGCAGAAGTCTCAAACTGTCTGCAGAGTCAATACTTAAAGATCTCCAAACTTCATTTGGCCTTTAGATTAGCACAACAACTGCACACAAGAAAGCTTCATGGAATGGGTTTCCATGGCCAAGCAGCTGCATCCAAGCCTGACATCACCAACTGCAATGAAAAGTGTCGGATGCAGTGGTGTATATCATGCCGTCACTGGACCCTAGAGCAGTGGAGACGTGTTCTCTGGAGTGACAAATCACGCTTCTCTGTCTGGTAATTCGATGGACATGTCTGGGTTTGGCAGTTGCCAGGAGAAAGGTACTTGCCTGACTGCATTGTGCCTAGTGTAAAGTTTGGTGGAGGGGAGATTATGGTGTGGGGTTGTTTTTCAGGGACTGGGCTTAGCCCCTTAGTTCCCGTGATGGAAACTATTAAGGCATCAGCTTACCAAACATTTGGGACGATTTCATGCTCCCAACTTTGTTGGAACAGTTTGTGGATAGCCTTGTTCCAACATGACTGCACACCAGTTCAAAAAGGAAGGTCCATAAAGACACAGATGAGCGAGTTTGGGGTGGAGGAACTTGACTGGCCCGCACAGAGTCCTGACCTCAACCCGATAGAACACCTTTGGGATGAATTAGAGCGGAGACTGTGAGCCAGGCCTTCTCATCAGACATCAGTGCCTGACCTCACAAATGCGCTTCTGGAAGAATGGTCAAACATTCCCATAGATACAATCCTAAACCTTGTGGACAGCCTTCCCAGAAGAGTTAAAGCTGTTATAGCTGCAAAGGGTGGGTCAACTCAATATTGAACCCTACAGACTAAGAATGGGATGCCATTAAAGCTCATGTGCATGTAAAGGCAGGCATCCCAATACTTTTGGTAATATAGAGTATATAACTATTAGATCATAATGACCCTATGTTACAAATTTCCTTCATAAATAATTCATCATGTGCAATAGTGTCCATCTTAAATGCATAAAAAAGTTCACCAGTGATGATAAACGTATTGATTATATCAGCCAAAAAAGTATAAATATGAAAATAAATATGGACAGTGTAACAAATTCCATATGAAGAAATGTAGAACATAAATAATCATCTATAGAACGGGGTCTGCCTGAGCATGGTGCCGACAAGGTGCTTCTGAGCTTCTGAGAACTGCCAGTAACAGTTATGCCTAGGAGTGGTTGAGATACCTGAAGCACCTTCTATTGTCCTGTCCAAGGGGTGTCCTGCTCCTGTATCCCGTCTGCCTGACGTTGCTGTGTGAGCGGGGGGGATCATGAGCCGGGTAAGGAAGCAGACTCCACCAGAGAGTGTGGAGCGGTGAACGTCGGAAAGTCACGTGACTGCTGCGGAGCAGTGCTGGGAAGCACAGGCCGGGTGTGAGAAGAGAGGAGTTGGCATATCCAGACCTGGTGCAAGCAGGATCTGTGGATCCCACAGAGGGTGATCCCCTTACACAGACAGAGTCAGACCACCCTGGAGTGCTCTGGAATCACCTGGAAGAGGAAGATTGAGAACTGTAGCAGTGCTCGGTATACAGAGAAACAGCAAAGAAACAGCAGCAGCAGCAAAGTGGATGAAGGTAGAATCGGGGGTGTAAGAAGGGCTGTGGGAAGTAATGAGTCTAAAATTTAAATTGACTAATACTGTCAAAGGAACTTTTGGGGGATCATCTGGAGGGCCCAGAGGGGACAGAAAAAACGGTACAAGAAAGAAAAGTGGTATAAAGAGCCCCGAGGGAGGAAATTGGTGAGGGTACAAATGGGAGAGCTAAGTGATACCAGTCCTATATGTAAAATAAAATGAATAGGAATATATACAGTGAACTATAACCTCAATATATCCTGTTGAAGTAAACTTCTGCCCTTCAACTTAAAAAGATAGAGATATTATATGAACATTATGATGAGTAAATCTGCAAAAGGAGAATGGTCCAAAACATCTCAAATAAGTACAAGTACAATTAAATAATATATGCCCCCTCAAGAGAAAAGTCCAGAGGGTCAAACCCCAGAGAGACAACATGGAGCAAGTGGAAGATGGAAGACGGAAAATAACATCTGTGACCATTCTGGATTGTCTCTGGGAATATCCAATCTGAGTCAAATTGAAGAAACTGTAGATATTGAAATAGAATTAGATATAGAAAATGTTTAAGAACAAGAGAAAAGCTCACAAATTCCTACTAAAACTGAAATAGCAGAAATGTTTATGAGATTAGAACGCTCCATAAAAAATGAGATGGCGGTAATACATAAGGATTTAGGGCAAGTTTTATCGCAAGTAGAAGAAACGGAGGGCAAATTGGATAAACATGCCCAAGTAATAACCAATCTGGAAAAACAAATGGAGGATATGCAAAAGGAGCAAAGGAGACAGATAGAAGGAACAATCTGAGGATACGGAGTTTGCCCAAGACTTCGCAGGGAGAAGATTTGATGGAGATAATGAGGAAAGTGTATAACACAATGATGGATAGATCAGTAACAGATCAGTTGAAAATTGACAGAATACACAGAACTGGAAGACCCCAAAGGAACAGCGAGTAAAAATCTCAGAGATGTGATGTGAGATTTCATTATTTACAAAGATAAAGTAGATCTATGGAAGAAGATAAGATATATACTAGTAATAAAATATAAAGAAACAAATTTACAAATCTTTGCTGATATAACACCGGAAACATTAGCTAGAAGGAGAACTTTGAAACCATTACCGGAACAGATGAGAAAACAAAAACGTATGATACGGTTGGGGGTTATCAGAATGTTTAATTGCATGGAAAGACAGTCGCTCTTCAAGATTGAGGTTCCCAGAAGAATTATGGGACATTTGCGAGAGACTAGAACTACAGATAGTAGACATTCCAGGATGAGAAGAAGGGGTAAAGGAAAATATAGGAATAGAAAAAGAGAGATGGCAATAAGTCCCCAAAAAGAGAGCGCATCAGAGATAAAATAAGTAGGGGGGAGGAGGATTGGGGGGACTTCTATTTTTTTTTTCCTCTGCTATCTCCTATTTCCACCTAGGCAGTTTGAGAATTTTAGACGACAGGAGGGAAACAGGAGTTTCACACATGTATCTTGACTTGTGACGCAGGGATTGGGGACGTGCGTTTGGTTGAGCGTATGTGGTCTGAATTTCACCCCAGACTGGAATCGATAGTGGGACTAGGACCACAAACTATTCAGGGCAAGATAAGAGCCAAGGGGTTGCTAGGGGGTTAGGAGTGGGGGTGGGAGAGGGGAATGGTATGGGTGGGAGAAGGGGAGGGATGGGGAAAAGAACTATGGTGGAGATATCTTTGTGTTCCTGATGATAGATATTGGTACTTCTTTTGGGGCAAATATAGAAGGAGAAAAAAGAAAACATAGGAAATGGAGGAGGTTACTTTTATGACCTATAATATAAAAGGGATTGAATCCCCCGTGAAGAGGCATACGATTCTTAGAGAATTACAATGACAATCTTTTGAAGTAGTGTTTTTACAAGAGACTCATTTATCTCAGGAAACAAATGTTAGGTTATACTCTAAATATTATTCCACCTGGTATTATGCAGATTCACCAACTAAACGCGCTTAAGGGGTAGCAATTAGGATAACAAAGAATCTAAGATTTAATATCGAAGATAGGTTGGTGGACCCCGAAGGTCGATTTTTATTTTTGAGGTGGAAATTACAGGAAATAGAATGTACATTAGCAAAAATGTCCTAATAAAAATCCAATGGCTTATCTGAAGAATATTCTCAGAAGGCTTTTGGATTTTAAGAAGAGCAAACTAATTATGGCAGGAGATTTTAACTTTTGCATGAACCCCCAGTGGATACATCATCACATGTGCAGCAAGATGGAGATAAAGGTATGAAATCTATTCAAAAAGTGTTATATCAGTGTCAAATCATGGATTCTTGGAAATTTAACCATTCTAGAGAAAGATTATATGTTCTATTCCCCTGTACATATGATGTATTTCAAATTGGATTACATAATGATAGAACATAGACTCCTGGAGTCCCTGGTTAAAGTGGATATATATATGGGGCAGCACAGTGGCTAAATGGTTAGCACTTCTGCCTGGCAGGACTAGGGTAATTGATTCAAATCCCACCCATGGCACCAGCTGCCTGGAGTTTGCATGTTCTCCCTGTGCCTACATGGGTTTCCTCCGGGTACTCCAGTTTCCTCCCACACCCCAAAGATGTGTTTGTAGGTTATTTGGATCCTGTCTAAATTGGCCCTAGTATGTGTATGTATGAATGTAAGTTAGGGACCTTAGATTGTACACCCCTTGAGGGTTAGGGACTGATGTGAATGTACAATATATATATATATATATATATATATATATATATATATATATATATATATATATATATATATATATGGCAGTGCATCCTGCCAAGGTCTAAATCAAGCTTATAACCCAGGATTCTCAACCATACAGGTTGAGGGGCTCTATAGGGTTTATTTAATGCAGAGGAAACTGGCTTTTCAGTTTCCTCATTTATTCATAAAATCCACTTTGGGATCTGGAGACTGGAGATTTCAAAGTGATCTGGGAGGGATGAAATCTCCATTCCTGGGTCCGTGTTTTCAGATTGCACAGGTGTGTGCAGGCCTTTTTGTAGAGGCCTAACCATGATTCTGGGCTACACCCCTGCAGAAAGGAAGTCATTGCCCTGGAGTCAGGAGAGCTCCACCTAGGAGAGGTGGAAGCCAGAGCAGCAAGGGGCTGCTAGCTGTGTGCAAACAGCCATTTAGGAAGGAGTCTGCAGGAGACAGCTGTGAGCCTAACGTTGAAGGCCAGAGCAGCAGAAATGTGTGTACAAGCCAGGAGGCTGAATATTTGTTTTCATGGTGGATACCCCTGCGTGGGAAACATGTTATGGAAGTTTCCTTTTAATAAAATTGGGCTAAAAGGCCTTTAAAAAAGAAAACGAGTGGCTGTGTGCTGGAAAAGCTCTACCATTTGATGTTAGTTCCCACAATATATATATATATATATATATACTGTGTGTGTAAAGCACTGCGTAAATTGATAGCACTATATAAGTACCTGAAATAAAATAAATATAGATATTATATCAATATCAGACCATGTACTTGTCATAATGCAGTTA